CGTGGCTATCGACTCGCCGACCGCGGGAATAAACCTACTTTAATGGCGCACTGAATCGGTTTAACGTCTCGATAGATGCCGAAAAAGGATTTCGCGCCGCCGCAACGGAGCGCCGCCGTCGCTTTCGTCTAATGCTTTCCAAAATTTGCATCCTAATCTCCGCAAACCCCGCCGGGATTACCGCCGTCTTCTTTCATCGTCTCCGGGGATTTGCTTAACCTCGGCTTTCTTTGAGAGCTAACCCTCGTCCTACCGCGATCGATGTAACGTTTTACCGAGTCCCTCATAAAGCGCACGCCTCCCATATAGTACGTAAAAATACGTCGGGAGGAATATGCGGACGCGGAGAGTATAAATAAACCCGAATTTGCATCGAAACATCGTTACTCGCAGTCGTGCAATGTTCAATTACCCGTTTTATTAATATTTATCGCGCCATAAGCGGGAATACCAAGGCGACTCAAGGAGACGCCAAAATAGGATGACGAACTCCAAAAATGCCGATAAGCGTCGGATAAGCACTAAAGCGATCACATTACCTTTGTAATTATCTTGTAAAGTAAAAGTCAAAATCGATTCCCGTATCTAATTTTTGTTGTTTCGGTCTTCAAGTACGAATGTTTAAACTTCCAACATAGGCTGCATATATACACTGAGAGAAAAAGAATATCTGAGGAGTAAAACATGTTTATTTAGTGGCTTCTAATAATATATTAACTTATATTAACATAAAATATTTTTCACAAATAAGAAAATACACATTTCTCTTAAAATCTTAGCTCCTCACGAAAGCAACTGTTTATTCTATTTAAATAAAATAATTTAGATTTAAATAAATATTGTTACTATTACTCGCTGAATAAATATTTCTTACTCTTTAATATTTTTTCTCTCAATTATTTTATACCTGTATACATATTTTGAATTGAAAGTTTAAATATTCGTATTTATATTAAAGATCAAAATACAAGAACAAGAATATCCAGGATTAAATACGTGGATCCGAGTGCAATGTTCTTTGAAATTCCTCTAAATGAAACAAACGCACATATTCGATATGTACAGACAGCAGAATTTCTGTGTCAGACAAGTATTTACACTACATATAATTGATAGCTCGAGATGTGTCAACTTCGACATTTTTTATCGTTTTCATCGCACATTGGACAATGCTCCAATTTCTCTTGGCGCATATTTTCATTGTATTCGCAATTCCGTGCAACTGATACGACGTGAACTTTACAGAGAAATGTCAGTACTTTGTCAGGAAACTTTTGAAGTACGACATCCCCTCGAACGATGCCGATGGGATTCACAAGTCCGTCTTACATATCGCGCGGCGATAATACATCTCGCTCGTAGCAGCTACGTTTATCGATTTTAGCAAATCGACGGAAGTCAAGAGAGACTCGCAGGAATAACACAGACGGCTGTTTGACGAAACGTTCGGGCCGCACCGTGGGAATAACCGCGAAAGGTCTACCGTGAATCATAAATAACGTCGGACGTCAGCGGGACGGTCAATCGACACTCGAGAAGTGGGCGAAACTCGTAAGTTCGAGGACCAATTAATCAGAAAATCGCCGTAAATCGTGACGACACGATCGGCGGCGGGTCGGAAAGGGCGCGAGTTTCGGTACGACGGGGTGACCGCCGGATTGGCAGCTAATCAAATATCAGGTTGACGAAGGGATGGAAGGTAGAAGATTTATTGTGAGTAAATACAATTAGGAGTTACGAGTGCCTTGAGTAACCTTTAGCCCCAGCTGACGCTAACCCAACTATGGGACGCTAACCTGACCTAACTATATAATCGAATTAGAGACGCCTTCTCCACCGCGATGGCGTCTTACCCGCTAGTCCATTTCTCGTCTTCCACTCGGTCACTCCTGACTTACGCTCGCCACGATCTCCGGACCGTGTTCGCGGGATTGCTGCCAGGACATGAAATTGACTGTGGTTTGGTGACAGACATGATCTCTCGGATATTACGACAGTGCTTCGTCCACGAACGTATGGCCGTCGGAAACGCACAAACGCCTCTTTGAATGGAAAATTAGAGAGCGTTCGTGCACGAACGAAGAGAAATCGTTAAAGATACCGACGAAATGCCACATGAGTCCCTGAACGTTAATATGCAATTCTGAATGGCGCGGAACGCGCATGTACAGACACGAATGTTAAAGATCGGGAAAAAATAACAATTGTTTTCAAAGAAAATTTTTTAGAATTCACCCAAAAAGATACAATCTTATCCTTAGCCGGATGAGATTATCTCTTATATATGGCCTCAAAAGGAAAAAATATTCTAACATCCAAAAAAGAACTCTAGTTACAAGACGCTTTTTTCTGTAATCTCATATTCTGAGTGAAAATTCTTACCGAAAGAGTACTCTTCTAAAAAAGTGGTCTATTAGATGGAAATCTAGTAGATATTATTCTAACTTTTATTCCTACTGAATCAAAATAAATATGTTTGTTTGAAACACGGAATGCTCTTTTACTAGAAGAAATTTCTATCAACACTAACAAGATTTGTACTGTAGATAAGAACCGAAATTCCGCTGATTTTAAGAATATTGCGCTTGGAATATTTTCCTTTTGGTTTCAGGAGACTCCTCTTAAAGCCATATACAAGAGAATTCCGCTAAGAATGAGATTATATTAATTAGGAATGTAATTTTTGTGTCACAATTAACTTCAAATTGCTCAACTTTTTGTTCAATCCAGAATAAAGAGTATCGCTTTTCCATGTTTTTCTCCTCTTTGTCTCTCTCTCTCTCTCTCTCTCTCTCGCTCTCGCTCTCGCTCTAATATCTGTTCGTGGTAGCACCATAGCTACGATTGCAGGCGAATTTACATGCACGGCGTTTTCTCACAAAGCGCAAAGTTCCCTCGCGACGACGGAGTTCGGATATCGATACCCGGCGATTCGACGAAACAGTACACGCCGTGCCTGCTTTCTAAACAGCTCTCAAACGCGACAAACGATCCCCCACGATCCCCCACGATTCCCCTACGATCAATCTCGAGGAAACATCGCGACGGCGTTTCCTCGAAAGGATGACTTCTCGCGCTGCGAAATACAACTCTTCTGTCGTCTACAGGGGAAAGTTTTTGGACTTAGAGTCGTTCCCGTCGACGAAACTTTCGGACGTCCAACTTGCCTAGGGGGCAACTTGCACTTCGCGCGCAACGACATATTGACACCCATTTCGGGTGCAGTCTAGCTCCAAATGCAAACCGGCGACGTCTCGCATTAACTCGCTGACTAATTTGATAAAAATTGACCCTGCGAGACAGGTTTTAATTATAAACAATTATTAATTAATTGAAGACAACGCGCGAGAAATTTATTAATTTTTTTTAGTCTTAGAATTAGAAACTGTTTTTTGTGCTTTAAGATAAATTCCATTTAGACAACAAACATGAATACGAAACATAATAAAACAGACGATGTTGAAAAAAGACGAAAAGAGAAAATACAAAAAGAGAATATATGAATTAAATACTCCAACAAGTAAGAAATTTATATATACAGAACAGAATGTCTTTGTTCGTCTATATATATATTCTCTATAAACTCCTAAACCTTTTAAATATACACGGAGAGAATATTATGGTTTCTCTTTCATATAAATTCTCCTCAATTTCACTGTTTTTAGTAGTCCAGGAATAGACTGTCACTAAGGTGTATCTTGCTGAGGAACATAGTAACTGTTCGCTGGAAACATAGCAGATTTTGCTAAGAACATAGCAAGTGTTTTAATAACACATTTCAGTTCCTAAAATACACGAATAGTATATGCGAAATGAAGGAATAGTGAATTACTGCAGAATGTCAATCTGTTATTCGGTTACAAAGCCCCACAGTAATTTTTATCATACAATTCTCTCTGTGTAGCTTACCATTCAACTTAGATATTCCCCTCCGCCCCCCCCCCCCCCCCC